AAAATGACGGCCTCTCCGCCGTTCAAGAGTATCCATTATTCCACCAGACACCAAATGACAGTACACAGCGTATCAGGAGGGCCAGCCATAAATACGCCGATACGAGGGAATCGCAAATTTTAATTGGTTTTCCAAAATTAAGGGGAAGTCATTAAGTCAGGCCGAAACAGCAGGCCGGGAAGTTGGTAGAGGGAGGGCGGCAGCAAGCAGTTTTCGACCCTGAAATTGGAGTTATGGTGGGCTAAAGCTGACTGCAGAGAGGCTTATTCAGGAAAAAGCAGACTCGCATAAATGAAATACGTATCAGAATCTCGAATTTTCAGAAACTCGGATTTTCAGAATTTCGAAATATGCCTAGGCTGGATTCAGGGCATAGGCGTGAAATCTCCGGAGTCTTTAATGCTGATTTAGACCATCGAAATTTTGAGATTCTGAAAATTCGAGATTCTGAAGGTCGCGATTCTGACAATTCGAGATTCTGATTTTCTAGATTCTGATTTTTGAGATTTTGACAGATTCCCGCATAAAGGAACCAACCCGTTCTCTGGCGTCACGATCCGTCCACCTGCACCATCTTTGCCGAGAAGCTGCAACTACAGTATGCAACCGTGGCCCCCCAGAAACCCAAAGGAACCTACGTGTGAAGGAACCCAGAGTCGTCGTGCGGGACCTGCCCGTAGCGCTCCCAATAATACAGCTGCATCACCCCGCAGCAGAAGATGAACTGGTCGAAGAACTGAAAGCTTGCCAAATAGGAGCCTATGTTTCTAAACCTAAGCCTAAGTCTAACCTATACCTAAGCCTAAGTGTAGTCCTAATCCTAAGTCTAAGTTTAAGCGCTTGCCTAAACCTAAACCTAAGCCTAAGCCTAAGCCTAAGCCTAAGCTGAACTCTGGATATCCCCCCAGCCGACCCCCAACTTTTGTGTCTCGGCTCCCTGTTCATCTACGGGTGTGACAAGTGTGTAAAGTATACCCCAATGCTCGCCAGAGCAAGGCAAACATTTTGGTATGCATTACACACCAGTAGATGCCCAGGGAGCCGAGCTACAAAGGTTGGGGGGCCAGCGGGGGCCGGGGGGATCTGGAGTTTAGCCGCCTATGCATAAGTCTAAGCCTACCCGGACAGCGCCGGCGCGGCACGAGCGCAATTGTTCAAGCGTCTCGCTCTTCATCGCCTGGAGGTGATGAGTGTCGTTGGTCTTCATCCAGTCCATCATCATGGCGAGGAGCGCCACCGTATCCGATCGTCCAATGTACGGCTCGTCGTGGAGCAGCATCGTCCTGAGGGGTCAGTGACTTTCTTAAAGAATCTCTGCTAGCCGGCCCGCTCCTAAAGAATCCCTGCTAGCCTGCCCTTAGCCGGGAAAGACGCACCTAACCGACTTGACGTCCCGCAGGTAGACGAGCAACTCGCTCAGCTCGTACCACACTCGCGGACATTTATCTGTTCTCCAGTTGAGCACCTGTCATCATTTCAGGGTTTACGATTTTCGTTACGTGGAGGTGTGTGACTTCTAGCGGCTCGCCACCATCATCTTTCGTCACCAGCAGATGACGGGCGGCTGCTTCCAAATTTTCACCCCACCGGAAGTTGAACTGGAATTGGTAGTTTGGCCCTTTCCTAAAGAACCTCTGCTAGCCTGCCCTCTCCTGAAGAATCTCTGCTAGCTCACCTTGCCGGTCGCGATGTTGACGACATTGTAATGACCAAAGAACATCATCTCCCCCTCCACTTCCGGGTAGTACGGCTTCCAAGCCGCTTCATTTTCTTCAACGTCCCGGATCAGCACAATGCACTAAAGTTAGTTTAAACGGGCCGGTAAGAAAAATACCTACCGTAACCTTTTCCTGGAATACCATAGCCCAGAAATCTTCGGAATTGGTTTGATTCGGGCTTTGCGCCAAGATATATTGCTGATCGGAATTGGGTGGGCGGATCCAGTTGGCGTGGTAGAAGCCGTCCGGGTTGTTCGCCTCTTTTACATGGACACGCGTCGTATCCAGGCAGGGGATCGTCTGGAAGAGAGCATTTAGGAAAGGGCAGACTGTCAGAGATTCTAGTTTAGGCAAGAGTTTACTTCCCCCAGCCGGAAGGTCCCAAAAATTTTTTTAGAGCCACCAATCGGTAGCCCTAGGTCCCAGCTACCATCCCCTGGCCGCGAATTGCGAAAAAAATCAATATGAAATTATAAAATTAAAATAGTGTTTGAGCGGTTATTCGGATTCTGCTTGGTTTTGATTCATAACTATTTTATTTTACATTATTTTGGGTTGTAATTAAAACTCTTAGTATATTTTTGACGGTCTATGGAGTGGCGTCAAAAACATTTTGTAAAAATGTCGAAAATGTCGAAAACTAGCTTTGCTCCTCCTGTTCCTATTAAGGGAAATCGCGTTTAAATCATGTTTTTGCTGTAACTATTTTATATTGAATTATTTTGGGCCGAAATTCAAACTCTTGGTATATTTTTTATGCACTATCGAATGGTTTATCGAAAATGTCGAAAAAATGACGAAAATATCGAAAACTAGCTTTTTTTACCCCGCTTTTAGAGGTTATTTTTGTTTTTGTTATAACTATTTCGTATTACAATATTTTGAGCTGTTATCAAAAATTTTTTGTATATTTTTCGATGCTCTATCGAATGGCGTCAAAAAAACTCGAAAAAGTTGGGTAAATATTTAAAACTTTGGGACGCTCGGGGCTAAAGTAAACCGTAGCCAAGAAAAGCGAAAACCGTACCGAGTAAGGCTCTGGCAGTCCATCCTTGTATTTCGCCCATACCAGAGCCTTTTCTGGAGCTGCGTCCGTGGGGTTCGGCCGTGTCCACGCCCGCATAGCCGCCTAAAGCCGCATCTGTTTCAAAGGACCTGGGTGGCAACTCTCGACCTTCGATGCTCTTATGCTTTATGCCAACCCGACCAGCTACAGTACCCCTACTTGGAAATCAAAAAAAGTGGCGTTCGGACAAAGCTCTTTTGTCTCATAACGGTCCCGCAACGGCTAATGGTTCGCTGATTGCCAGGGATGGGGGCATGGATTTGCCTTCCAAGTCCCTTTAGAGAGCATATCGAGCCTACCCTGATTTCCAAGCAAACCGTGACCCAGAAACGTTGGCGGGAGCGCACGCTGAAAATAGAGCTGGTCGACCGGGAGTAACCCTCCCTTCCCCGGCGATCTGTAGAGGGTGTCAAACCCCCCTTAGCCCGACGGAGGTATCGGATCGGAATTGTAGTTACACCATTCAAAAGCCCTCGAAACGGCCAGTTTGAAACTATCTTCAAAATTGTTTTTTTATTTAAACCCGACATTGTCTGAGTGCAGTTTACCCCCTGGAAACAGTCTTTTTACACGCCTCGAGACAAACGGGGAGCAGAGATACCAAATTTCGGCGCCGGCTGGGGGATCGGGTAAGCTATACCCTCATATGGGGGGGGGGGAGAGAGAAGTTAGTAAGTTAGATACCCACTATTCTCGTAATTCCTCTTTGATTCGCTTATTTTCCATTTTCTCCATCTCGGCGTAGCCCAAGCGTGGCGTTGCTGTGCGCTTCCGGCGGCTTCTTCTTCGATCGGAAAAATAGAAAAATAGTCAGATGGCGAGCTAGCAGAGATTCTTTCGCGTAACGCGGCAAAACGTACGCGCTTTCGGGATTGGGCGGCTTTTTCGACTTGCAGCAGACCATCTAATCGAGAAGAAGCGCGACAAGTGGTTTTGCCCGGACAAATTTGCCGAGCTCGAGTCAAATTTCAGATGCATATCTTGAGAGAGCGAGAGAGAGAGAGAGAGAGAGAGAGAGCGAGAGAGAGCGAGAGAGAGTGATCCAGCGGAAAACTGCGCCCGAATGAATACAAAATCCATTTATTCCATCAGACACGAAAAGTACAGTACACATTTCAGCCATAAATACATCACTAGCAAGGAATCGGAATTTTTAACGCGTTTTTCAGAAATTAAGGGCGGTCATTAAAATCGTTGAGAAGTGGTTGAAGTTGGTAGGGGGCAGGGGCAGCGGGCAGAGATCATTTGTGGAACCTGGAAATGTGGTTGTGGAGTGCCATGGCGCATTGGCAGAGATTCTTTAAGAAAGGGCAGGCTAACAGAAATTATTTAGGAAAGGACCGACAGACCGACCGCCACGTACTCCTTCTCCTTGCATGGCGCAACGAGCATCACCATGGCACCTGGCCCCACACGGTCGTGCATCTGTAATCAGGTGATTGAGTGGGATCTCGGCTGGGGCACCAAGCGAACGTACTGCTTCAACCAATCAGAGTGCATTCGCATCCCGTATCGGTTCGAATGGTAGATCTCCAGCATCCCCAATGCGAACAGGTACTGGCCATGGGACTGAAAGGTTGAGCAAAGCATAAGTCTGGGTTAGAGTGCAGTTTACACGCCAGCCGGCACCCAACTTTTGTATCTCGGCTCTCTGTTTATCTACAGGTGTGTAAAGTATCCCAAAATGTTCGTCTTGCTCCGGTGAGTATTTTGGAATACTTTACACACCTGTAGATGAACAGGGAACCGAGATACGGTAGGTCAGGGTCGGCTGGGGGGTGAGCGGTAGTTAAGCCTAAGTCTGAGCATGAGCCGGTTCTTTGGCATTATCGTGGGGGCCTACCCTAACAGCCTCGGCGCGACACCGGCGCAACCGCCTGAAAGTGGCCTCCCTCGCCCCGCGATCCCCAATAGTTTTCGGGCACGTCTCGATCTCATCCATGAACATCGCCAGGAGCACCAAAGTATCCGCTCGGCCGCTGTACGGCTCGTCGTGGAGAAGAATCGTTCTGAAGCCGGACCAGCTGATGAGAACAAAACATCGCTGCTAACGGCCTTTTCCTAAGGTGTCTCTAGGGCTAAACTCGCCCTCTCCCCGCCCCGCCCAGCCCGGGTCCAACACCCCCACCAACATTTACTAATGGCGCATTGGGATTAGAGGGGGTGTGGCAGGTGCTTTCCACGTTCAACCGGGGGAGAAAAGAACCAACTCGACGTTCTTGACTTCCCTCAGGTAGACGAGCAGCTCGCACAACCCCATGTCGAAATTCGGACGGTAATTCGATGTCGAATTGATCTATACGTTTATGAAAAGGATGCATATCCGATGCTCATGCTCAGATACGTGAATATGCGTGATTTCCAGCGGTGTGTCGACCCCATCTCTGAGCACCAACAGATGGCGTGCAACCACCGCCAACAGCTCAGTCGGGTTCTCAAACTCGAACTAAAAACAGAAAGATATCCAGTCTCTCTCTCTCTTTCTCTCTCTCTCTCTCTCTCTCTTCTCTCTGTCTCTCTCTCCAAGCTTTTCCTAAAGAATCTCTACTAGCCCACCTCTCCCGTCGCCGCGTTGCTGACCGTGTAACGGCCAAAGAACATCATCTCACCCTCCACTTGCGGGTAGTACGGCTTCCAAGCGGCTTCATTCTCTAGCCTGCCCCGGATCAGCACAATGCACTAAACCTAGTTTCAGGGGCCGGTAGGAAAAATACCTACCGAAACCTTTTCCTGGAATACCATAGCCCAGAAATCTTCGGAATTTGTTTGATTTGGGCTCTGGGCCAAGATATATTGCTGATCGGAATTGGGTGGGCGGATCCAGTTGGCGTGGTAGAAGCCGTCCGGGTTGTTCGCCTCTTTCACATGGACACGCGTCGCATCCAAGCAGGGGATCGTCTGGCAGAGAGCATTTAGGAAAATGGCAGGCTAATTGAGATTCTTCAGGAAAGACAGACTAGTAAGCCTAAGCCACCGTTCACGAGAAAGAACCGATCTTCTTCAGGCAAAGAAACCGTACCGAGTAGGGCGCGGGTAGGCCATCTTTGTATTTTGCCCAGGCTACGGCCTTCGTCGGTGCCGTTTTTCCGTCCGGATCCGTCCGCCCCCCGAGCTGCCAGGAGAACCATGAGTCCTGAGCGAAGCGAAACGGTTTCTGGACTTTTGCGGGGGGAGGGGTTACTATAGGAGGGAAAACCACTTTCTGTTTTAGACCTAAACCTACTTGTTGGTGATAAATAATGGGTTAGAGTGCAGTTTACACGCCAGCCGGCACCCAACTTCTGTATCTCGGCTCGCTGTTCAGCTACAGGTGTGTAAAGTATACAAAAATGTTCGTCTTCTTCTGGCAAGTAGCGGGTTTTTAGTAGTTTTTGATTGCAAGACAGTTATCAAAACCTTTTGAAAAGTTTTGAAGGTAAGAGTTTACTTTACCCCCCCCCCACAGCCGAAGGGTCTCAAAGTTGTCGGTATTTTCGCTTATTTTGTCGGGATTTTCGCAACGCCATTCGATAGAGCGTCGAAAAATATACTAAGAGTTTTAATATGAGCCTACAATAATGTAAAATAAAAAAGTTATAGCCAAAACATTCCGGCTGGGGGGGGTAAAGTAAACCGTAGCCGTTTTGAAAACTGAAAACTAGAAAATGGCCAGGTTCTTCATGCACGCACTTCCAACTCGTTCTTCCCAGCCCGCGTGGGGTCCGGGGTTCTCCCACGCCTCATTTTCACCGGCCTGGAATGGTACTGGGTTGTTAGCGGCGCGGGAATAATCACTTTTTCTGCTTCGCCTTCCTGGGTTGATCCGGCGGCATCCATCGGCGCGGCATCCATCGGCGCCGCATCTTTGCAGGAGCCGAGTATGACGAAATGCTACTCAAAACAGCGTTTTACCGACTTTTAGTTTGTTAGCGGATGTAAATTGAGGGATGCAAAGCGAAAACGACAGCAAGGAAGTGCGAGAGAGAGAGAGAGAGAGAGAGAGAGGAAGGAGGGGAATGAGAGACGGAGAGAGAGAATGCTGCTGAATTTTTAAAGTTAGTCTCTACGATCTTGTACCTGTCCTCAATAATCTCGGCTATCTTGCTTCTTCCTTAAGAATTGCTGCCAGCTTGCCAGCCTCAATCGATTCAAATCGAACAAAGTGCCAAAAAGAAACGACAAAAATTCCATCTTTATACAAGCAACATCTAGGCAAAGGCTACAAGGTTCAAAAAGCACATACGGATATTACAAAACCGTCGAATACAGTACACACTACAAAGTACACCCCTATACGCAGCTCCCATTCGTCATCGGCTGTATAATATCGAAGGGGTATTTGCAGCATTGCCGTGTTTTGTCGTAGGCCGTTTCGATGAGGCTTCCGGATTGGCGCAGGTAGCAGCAGGCCATGTTGCCGTTTTTCTGCTGCGGCACCCCGCAGCAGAACTGGGTGGCCGAGTTGAATTGCTGGAAGTCGGGGGATAGGTTAGATTTTGTTAGGCTTAGGCTTGGTTTAGTTTTGGTTTGTTTTGGGTTGGGGGGGGTTGTTTGGGGTGGGGGGTTTTTGGGGGGGGGTTGTTTGGTTTGGGTTGGGGGTTGGGTGGGGGTGGGGCGGGGTTGGGGGGGTTGTGGGGGGGGTGTGTTGGGGGGGGTGGGGGGGGGAAAATAATGAGTGTTTTTTTCACCTGAAAGGTCCCGCCCGGCGACTCGCAGCAGCTGTCAAAGTCGCTGAGCTGGAAGACCTGCTGCCCACAGCACATCTGCGTACGGCCACCATCAAATGTTGTGGCCCCGCAGCAGATATCCGTGCCGGAAGTGGCCCTGGAAATGGCAAGCTAGCAGAGGTTCTTTAGGAAAACTAACCTAACCAACGTTTCATTACAGCACTTCAAGCTCGGATCGGACTTTGAGTAGACGGCCGAGCCACAGCAATCCCCGCCAGCTACGTTGTGCACCTATCGACACTAGCAGATAGGCAGAGAGAGAGAGAGAGAGAGAGAGAGAGAGAGAGGAGAGAGAGAGAGAGAGAGAGAGAGAACCCACAACTCCGGCACAGCAAGTCTGATCGTAGGCCAGCGTTTCCGTGCCGCAACAAAGTTCAGCGTATCGTCCATCGGCGGTCTTACGGTCTCGGACTGCCTGAAACGGTATTTCTCTTCTCTCTCTCTCTCTCTCTCTCTCTCTCTCTCGCGCTCTCTCACCCCACTACAGCAGATCCTCGTGAACGCATTGTAAGGTTGATTCCCGCAACAGGCCACCCCGAACAGATCCTCGGCCCGAGAGAAATTTTGGCAGAGATTCGGCACACCGCAGCAGGCTTGGATCTCTGAAAAACTTTATGACTTCCTAAAGAACCTCTGCTATGCCCTTTCCTAAAGAATCTATGCTAGCTAGCACTTACGTAAATTTTGCGCGCATATCAGCGGCAAGAGGAAAGCGGCGACAATGGCAAGCAGCATCATTTGCACCTGCGAATTCTCCAGCATCCGGCTGACGATTGCAGAGTACGGAGGGGCTGAATCTTTTTAAAGGGCTATTGAACGCAAAAATTAGCTCCGCCCCTTTAATTTTTTAGCTACAGCTACAGCTACAGCTAGAGCTACAGCTCCAAAAACTGCTTTCGGCACCGCACTTTCGTGCCACACGGGGGCCCACCACGGCAAAAGGGGTCGGTTGGCTGTTTGTCAAGGGTCTGCGGGCTATGGATTTGCCTTCCTGGTCCCTTTAAAAGTTGAATGCTAACCTCCAGGCACGAAATCGTCCCTATCCGTCTCGAATTCGAGCTCTTGGGTGGATTCTTGGAATGAGCGCTCCAGGTGGATCACATCCGCGTCTTCGGAGAGTGTGTAGTCGAAATTGGAGCTGTGGACCTATAGTGAGAGATGCAGAGAGAGAGAGAGAGAGAGAGAGAGAGAGAGAGCGAGCGAGCGAGTGAGAACGTCTTCTTCTTACCGTAGGCGCCTCCTCGAGGCTTATCCTCGAATTCCCATCGCACCAATCGATCGTCCGTTGCTCGGTTTTTGACGACTTCGACGTCCCGACCACGGTCCTCGTGAACTCAAACTCATCGAGCCCTCGGCCTTGATTGTGCCCGTTTTTCGATCTTCGCTTCGACTTGACGACTTTCTCAGTACGTCCTCGGCTTCCTGGGCTTCCGGTTGAGGCGAGGGCCCTGAATTTCGTGGTGGAGAGAGACCTCCCACGTTCCTAAAGGATCTCTGCTATCCTGCTAAAAATCTGTGCTAGCCTGTCCGGTACTGGACTGTCAGCGGGGGGGGAAACCAAATTTTCCCCCCATGTTTCCCTATGGCTCTATAACAAAATATAGACCATTTTTATAGCATTTTACATAGTTTTTAGATAAGAAACAATCAAAAAATAATTAAAAACTTCAAAAATTGTTGACTTTTGGTCAAAAATGTATGAAAAATGACGAAATTTTCGCCTTTTCAAAAAGCTTAAAAATTATGTCAAAGTTTCTAGCAATCAAAAACTACTAAAAAAACAATAAAAATAAATAATATATCATCAACAACAAGGTATAGACGAAAAAAGATAAGGTGGTATTCCCCCTGCCAAACCCCCCGCTAACAGCCCAGCACCGCCCGTCCCACCACTGACCGTAAATGATGAGCCTCATGCATCCGCCTATGCAATTCGTGGACGTCGATAGGTGCTTCTCGTCCTGCTTGCCCATTTTCAGGCTGAAACCGTATTTTTCTCGTTTAAAGGGGCTCGAAAATGGGAATATCTTTGGAAACCAACTTCTAAATCCTCTTCCAAAATTTCGACTACCGCCTCGGGCTCGACGGTAGCTACCGCGGTCTCAACATGGTCCGGCAGGGGTTTCTTGGTTGGTCTACTCCTCGTGGCTTTAGATTTCTTGACGCCTGCCATGCCTAAAACGAAAACTCGTTAAAAGCCAGTCATTAGTCGCTTTAAAGGAACTGGGAAGGTAAAATTTTGCCCCGCTTCACTGATTTTTGGCCCCAAGCCAGATCTAGTTACAGTACTCCCCTTCTTGTAAGTCCAACAAAGGAATTCCAGCCATAATCCCGACAGCCAAAATCCCGACAGCCAAAATGTAATATTTCCGGTCGCTTTACCTAACACTGGTTTTCAAAATCTGGGTTTTCAGGCTGTCGGGATTCTGGCTGTCGGCATTCGTTCCTGGCGCCGAATATCTAAAAAATGCTGCTAAATTCTGAATTTTGCGCGCCTAGAACTAGGCATGGACCTGCTCTCGAAGCTATGGATTTGCCTTCAATGCCCCTTTAAAATCGTGAATACGTGGCGAAGGCGAAGAAATTCAATAAAATTGTATGTAGCGTCGGTGTTGCCCCCCAATTTCCGGGGGCAATCCGGAAATAAAACGATGGGAGCGGGACGGAATCGAGATGACCGTTTTCAGCCCCCCCCCCCCCGAATTCTCTATTTGGGCAGCTGGGGGCAGCGCCGAACGGTTTCGGGCAGCCGGCCGCTGCCCCATTCCGGCCCCCCGAAAACAATGAGGATGGTATGACACGGAAAGGCTGATTTAAGGGTTTAAAGGGACTGGCAAGGCAAATCCATAGGCGCTAGGCCAGTGGCAATCAGCCAACCAATCCCCCTTGGCCGTTGTGGGACCCGTCTGGGACGAAAGAGCAGCGCCCGAAGCACTTTTTCGATTAAAAAGTAGCGTTGCACTGTAGTTGGTGTTTGCGATCTACAAACCGAAGGCGTCGGGCTCGGATTTGCCTTTACAGGTCCTTTAGAGAACCCGAAATGGCCTCATGGGGTGGGGGGCTTAAATGGTCTCTGCTAGCCTGCCCTGATTGAGTACTAGCCTGCAATCTCCTAAGGAATCCCACCGCCGCCTAAACCCTCCTCCCCCAGCCTGCCCTCTTAAAGAATCTCTGCTAGCCTACCATGTCCTAAAGATTCTCTGCTAGCCTGTCCTTTCCTAAAGCATCTCTGCTAGCCTACCATTTCCTAAAGATTCTCTGCTAGCCTGCGCTTTCCTAAAAAATCTCTGCTTGCCTGCCCTTCGTTTTTGCATGATCGTTAACTTTCCGTAATACGTTTGCCCTTTTTATTCATTCGCCCTCTGTAAATTGTTGGCGCCTTTGAGGGCATCGCCCCTCACCTGGCGCCAGCCAGCCAGTCAGGGGTTTGAGCCCTGGGGGCACAAAATAAGGGACTGGTTATGGGAGAAGGACCAATTATGGAGTTGCACGGGCAGACAGGAGGGATATGTCGCTTCGGTGCATAAGCTGAAGCAGAAACTATTCGAGTTTTTCTTGATTTGTAAGCTCGGATAAAGTATCTCTTTATTTCTCTCTCTCTCTCTATCTCTCGCTTTCTCTCTCTCTCTCTCTCTCTCTCTCTCTCTCTCTCTTTCTTCTCTTTCTCTCTCTCTATTACTGGTTATTCCAGCAGTCTCATGGTTCGTGTAGCTGCCGCCCTATCCGTGACAGCCCTAGTGTGTGCTTGTGCATTGGTCCCACTTGCCCTATTCCACGCCATCTTCCTCCTGCACCACGACGTCGAGAAGGGGCAGTGCCCGGTGAGTCGCGGCGGGAACCGTTTGGGGCCGCTTTAAAAGTCTTTTGAGTGTTTTAAAGAGACTTTGACGCAGTTCATACCCCTTGACTCAGGCCTACTGTAGCAGCCGCATTCGTGTTTTCAGACCGTGGTCGCCGATCTGTGGCGACGAGTGGAGATGGCGAAATTTGACCTGAAACATCGGCGCCGTATGAAGCGAGAGATGCAGAGTAAGCGACGAGGGAGAGAGAGAGAGAGAGAGAGAGAGAGAGAGGAGAGAGAGCGAAAGAGATCCACCTTTTCAGGCTGTTGCGTTGGAGCAGCCGGCCCGCCTGGCGCCCCTGGTCATGATGGAATCGATGGAGAAGACGGAACACCAGGTACGATCAGGGTTTTTTTGGACTTCTAAGCCCTCTTAAAGCAATCTGCATTATATCAATCGCTTGACATAACTTTCTCTCTCTCTCTTCTCTCTATCTCCACACGATCTCTCTCTCATCTTCTTTCTCCCGCGCTGAAAGCGGGCAAAAGGCAACATATTTTAATCCACTTCCCATATTTAGGCTCCGACGGGCATCCCGGCCGCCCGGCTGAGGGAGACACACGTCAGACATGCATCCGCCCATGTCCCCCCGGGGAAGTTGGGTAAGTTTACCTCGGGCATTCCTTCCTTCTCCCTTTCAAAAACGAGTAATATCACTTTTAGCGACCAAGGGCCTGAGGGCCCCAAGGGGCCCCGCGGCCGCCCTGGCCATTCCGGAAGACCCGGCCGGCCGGCGCCGCCCAGCCCGCAGGGAGAGCCGGGCCGGGTTGGGCCAAAGGGATTCACGGGTACTGTAAAGATCCACTTGCTTCCCATCACTGCTTTTTTTAGGTTCCATCGGGCTTCGCGGCGAGCCGGGAGAACCTGGAAAAATCTACAAAATGTCCGGCCCACCGGGCAAGGAGGGAGCCCCGGGACCCCGGGGAGCACCGGGCGATAAGGGACCGCCCGGAAAGAACGGAATTCCGGGTAAGGAGCTTAGGCCTAAGCCCAAGACTAAGCCTAAGCTCCAAACTAACCTGCCCTTTTTTGCTAATGCCTTGATTTTTATAGCATTTACACCATCCCAGATATAAAAGCCCGTAATAAAATGTACAAATCTCCGCAAATTGTCGTTTTTTTTTCTCAAATTACGTGAAAATGACCCAAAACGAGGGTTAAAAAAGATAATATAAAAGTAGGGGAAAGAATTAGGGTTCCTTCCGTTAACGCCGCCGATTTATGCTTCTTTCAGGAATTCCCGGCGAATCCGGTTCCCCAGGCGAATCAGGGCACCGCGGCCTCCCGGGAAAACGAGGCCCCCAGGGCTTGCAGGGTGCGTGGCACCTTTCAGTAACTAATTACTAAAGTTTTACCCACAAAAAATCTGATTTTTCAGGGCCCAACGGCCCACCGGGCCATCCCTGGCCCTGCTCCGAGTGCCCACCACCCGTCACCGCACCCGGCTACTACGAAACCGGCTTCAAAGAGACGGAAGAGATCCGGCGAAAGAAGAAGCTGTGGCACCATTTCTTGTGATAAATCCACTCCTCAAGATCTATCCCACAGCGTGGTTAGACTATTTTTATTCCTATGAAAACGTGCGAAGGGAAACGAGTACACACAAAAATCGCAGATTACCCGACCGGGTACAATTGCTCAAGCCAAAGATGTACAACAAAAAGACAAGTAAATTATATGAATTCTAGAAAAGAAAGAACATATACCACAAAATCATTATTACAGAAGAATCGAGTGGTCGGAAGAGACGTCTATTTTTGCTCTTCTTCTGGAACTGCTTGAGATATTCTTCTGCTCGGCCCTGAAGCTCGGTGACGGACGGTAGTTTGGGCACCTGAAGATGGAAGTTTATAAAATTTCAACTTAGCGCTTGAAAAGTTACCCCTTTCGAAAAGTTTACCAAAATTTAAGCTGAAGGCTGGGTCGCAGGGACCACCATATTATTATGATTATTATTAGGAATCGAATTTGGCCCCGCACAATGGCAATGATGATGGCATTTCGGGCAGCATCGATATTTTCGACGTCCACACGGGACAACAGCGCCGCGGCATGTCCGCGCGGCCCGTGGGCTCGCCGTGCACGGCCGCGACTCCGCCGTGCGCGCGCCGTGGCCGCGGACCCGCCGGGCCAATGCCGCGCGCGGATTGACCGGGCAGCCGGGCCCCTCCCGTGCGCGGTCAATGCGCGCGCGCGCCGCGTTTTCGCCGTGACGTCGATAGGTGTTGGAAGTACCGCACGGAGAATTTCGCGATTTCATGGCGAAATCCACAAGTTTAAAAAAACTCCATAGTTCAGAGAAAAATAATTATTACCTCGCCGTTTACTAAACTTTTTATCGAAATCTGTTAAGGCCTGCGATTACTAACTACTTTCATAGCTTAATCCCGTTCGTAATTTGCGAGAACCTCGTTCCTCTTTTTTGTATCCTCAACTCGTTTCGAATTGTTTCATTGTTATTGCATGCCTTTTAGATAAAAAGTCTGGATGTCGAACCCAATTCAGGAAGGTGCTGAATGAAAGACTTCTTGCGGAAAAGGTATCGTTCATTCTAGGCTTTCTAAGTTCAAATTTAGGTTTGGTATCCTGTTCTGATGCGCCAGTCACGTCGACGGGATTCAAGCCGCCAGCCCAACGCTGCTCTATGCTTTTCACCACTAGCCTTTTTATCAAGTTATTTTACTAAAAGCTTTTTAGGCAACCGCCTCGGAAGGTGCCGCCGAGATGATGGGCAACGAGTGTGACGAATTTTCACATCTGCCGTCAATACTGGTCAACTTGTGTTAGCTGGGATAATACTGGTCAGTGTTTCTTGCTTAGTTGTCACCGGCACAAGGTTCCTATCTATTTTTTCCTTATGAAAAGCTCATGGTCTGGGTGGCGTCGCTTTCAATATGGATTCAATAGGAGTTTTCCTAAGGAAAATAGGTCTTCCCTGTGCCGGTGACACCTCAAGTCTTGGCTTTCTATGTTTTTTAGCAGACCGTTGTTTCCGGAAGACAGGCTGCGAGACGCGAGCTGCTTCCTGCTGCCGACAATACCCGCGCATAGGAAACTGAAGACCGACCATCAAAAGAAGAAGGAGGTATCGATCGTCATCTTTTCATCAATTTTTCTTAGATTTTGCTTGACGGCATGGGCAAATACTTGTGAAAAATCAAGTTGCACGACACGCGCCACCTTGATATGCAAAGCAGACGTCCTACTTTTGGTTGGTTTTTTTGCTAAAGTTAATTAACTTTTCAAATTAGTGCGCTTCTTTTCGCTCATGTGTGCCGTTGCTCGACGAACCTACCCGCTGAATCTGCAGTGCTACTTGTAAGTAGAGTTTAATCTACTTATATCTATTCTTTAGGGTTATGTTCGGAGTCTGTATGCAGTCGGGCCCGATGTGTGCTATTCGACGACGCGCACCACTGCCGTCGATGTTCAGGGACCAAGAAAATGTAAAAAGCAAACTTTAAATTATTATCTGTCATTTGTGAACAACCCGTGGTTTTTCTTATGTTTGTATCATTTGTTCATCCATACTCTTCATTTTTCTGTGTCTACTGTTATCTTATCGCGTATTGTGATTTCATTCAAGTTCCTGGTCGATTATTGTATGATAAACTATTGGTGGAGCAAGGTGTATCTAATTTCCGATTAAATGCACCGAATACAAGGAAAAGTAAGGATATATTAATAGTAAAGGCATCCATGCGCGGTTCCTTGCGTGCACGGCGCGCGGTCCAGCCGTGCGCGGCGCGCGCTCCCGCCGCGCACGGCCCGTCCTGGGCCGTGCCAGCCGCGGTCAATGCGCGCGCGCACCGCGGGCAACGCGCGTGCGCAATGGCAACGGCGCGCGCGCGCAATGAACCGCGGCGCTGCTGTCCCGTGCAAGCGACATCTGCATTTTCAAAATCCATCATAAAGCGCCCAGGACATTTTTTTTAAGATGTAAATCTCACCTCGTAATTTTGTGCTGCGTATGCTCCACCATAGAATCCGACGGCCAGCGTTATCAGGTGCCCGAATAGACCCATTCCCTGAAAGCAAGGTGTAATTGCTTACAAAAAATAACAACTCTATGCCGACGGATGTGGTGATAATAGTGATAATTGTAGGGTTGCATCAACCAGAAAATCCAGATAGCACTTCTCCTGGTCTATAGCCGTTTATATAACACGAACGGGGCCATGATGCAATAGATAAAAAAGGTGGAGACGGCGGATCACAATTCAAAAAAGCAACTTGCGAAATCGAGGTGACCAATTACGAGTGGGAGTTAGAGGGGAATACATATCGAAAACAAACGGCAACGTGAACGAAAGCCTAGCCAATTAATTACATCATTAGAAAAAGAATCGAGTCGGCATGAAATAAAGACACCCGGTGATTATGCTAGCAATCAGGCCTGGGAATGGGCCGGCCCGGGCCGGCCCGCCAGCCCATTTTTCTCGGCCCGGCCCGGCCCGGCCCGGGCCGGCCCGCAGCCAATTTTTCGGCCCGCGGCCCGGGCCGGCCCGACATTTTGGGTACATTTTTACCAAACCAGTATATGCCATCATTTAATTTTTCCGGAGTCACAAAAACGTGTTAGATCAAGTCCGTTAATTGTCTATAGGCTTGCACAACCGATTTAGGTATGGTATGTAACGAGAATTTATTCATAAAGCAGTATACAACATTACATCTTTAGTTCAATAGAAAAAAGTCTGTTTTACTTAGTGGAGTTCAATTTCTTTGACGTCCACGTGTAGTTTGAACGCTAATACACTTAATAAGGCTAACAAGGCATATTCCCAGCATTTCTGAACATTTCCGGCCAAAAAAAGCAAAAAGCAAAAGATTGACTTCGGCCGGGATCGAACCCGGGTCGTTTTCCTGATAAATCAAAGTTAAGCCAAAACTCGGATTTTTTACTTTAACTGCTGAAACAGATGATTTAAGTTGAATATCAATAAGGAAAACTTACAATGTAATTAAATTACCTCATTTAAACTCAAAATAACTTATTGGCAAGGTGGCGGGCCGGCCCGGGCCGGCCCGGGCCGGCCCTCCATATTTGACGGGCCGGCCCGGGCCGGCCCGCCAGCCTAAAATCCCGAAAATCTCGGCCCTGGCCCGGCCCGCCCGCCAAATTCCCAGGCCTGCTAGCAGTACAATAATATTTACAACGTCGTACAGCCCTGTACTACGAAAATCGAAATAAACGGTTACAAAATGTTCTTCGGGAACTTTTTATTTTCCTTCTTCTCGTACGGCTTCAAGGCATCCTCGACGCGCTGCGTGATCTCCTTGGGCGACGGTATGCGTGGAACCTGAAATTTAAATATATAAAGATTTTAAAAAGATCCCGGATTAAAACAAAGATAATCAAGGCAAAATTTCGACCCAGAACATCAAAAACCCACTTTTATCCAGCCCTCATCTCTGCGCTTCTTCTAAAGAGGAAATTTAGCTATCCGGAAAATCAAGAATGTTTTTGAGCGCAATATACACAATTTCGCTAGCATACAAAGGCGTAAAAAGCAAAAGATAGACCACCTAACGAAGCCCTGGCAGACTCGAAATCCAGAATCCAAACCACTCACGTCATACATCTGGATCGCATACGCACCGACGTAGACGCCTATTGCGAAAGCGACGAGATGCGTGAGGAAGCCCATCCCTTGATGTAAATCTGCAAAAATGGTTTGCAAAGACAACAATTGACAAACCTTCAAGGCGGAAGCCGCGCTCCTTGTGTACGCTGCCGGTGGATGAAGGCGGTCAACGGCCCGAGGTCTACCTGAAAATAATATATTTGCATTATTTAAGTCAACTTAGAACATAAATAGCATAAAAACACGACCTTTTTTCGTTTTTTTTTGTTTTTGCTTCAGCGTTACACGATGAAAAAAGAAGCACGAGTTTCGAGAAAGATACACCGTTCATGTGTCACGAGGGTCGCCATGTAGCCCCGCAACTAAATGATTCAGAAGTCAAATTCGCAGTATTCATCGCCCGAAAGTTCATTAAAAATATTATTTTCAGCGAAACGATGGCAAAAACCGTTGTGGTGACCGGATTTGGCCCGTTTGGACCCTGGGAAACGAATCCGTCAACGGAGGTGGTCAGGAATCTTTCCAAGGTAAGCTCAAGGAGTGCCTGAAAAGACTTTCGCGGGTTAGCTTGGGCTCCCTGAAGTCAATGACGCGAATCTGGTGACCGACTTGATGTCCGTGGAATACAATGAGGTCGACACGAAGGTGCACAACTACTGGAAAGAGCACTGCCCGGATGTAGGTGCTTCAACGCTGCGCCAAGCACGCATGAAGCAGTCAAAAGTTAGTTTTAGCTGATCATTCACGTTGGCGTGCACCCTGTAAAGAAGACGATCAAGTTTGAGCAGCAATCGTTCGGGGATGGCTACTGCCGGGGCGATGTGGCTGGTACGTAGGATGGAATTACAGCAGGGCATTGTGGTTTTGATAAGTTTTTAATTTTTAGAGAAGTTGCCAGACAATGGTATGGCCCCAAATTGCACTGTACACGGCGCCGAGTTGCGCTCGGGGATCAATTGTCTGGATTTGGCGGAACGGGTGACCGGGGCCACTCGAGAAAAACACCCCGGGCTCACGATCATGGCCAGCGAGGACCCGGGCCGGTGAGTTCAAAATATGTTGTTGGTCTGATGAAGCAAGCGTAATGCAAAGGTTATCTCAGATATCTCTGCGGATTCTCCTTCTACATCTCGCTGTGCCACGACAAATCGAAGGCGCTCTTCGTACACATCCCGGAATTTGATGAGGATGTAAGTCTAGAAACACGACTAAAAGACAAGACACGACGTGTAGAAAAGACAAACACGATAAAGTGAGAAAAAAAAAGAGAAAAGAAGGTAGAGATAATTAAACGATTTTAGGCAACCCTCGAGGCAATCACCGAAGTTTTGCAGCTCGCAATTAAAGCCATCTTGGAAAAACAGGCGACTGTCCAGGAACAGTAAATTCACCGCTCAAAAAAGCATTTATTGAGCTTCTTCTGAAGTTTAGGGTGGGGGGGGGGGGGGGGGGGGATTTCAAGAGGGCCCCAAAACCTAACCAACGGGGGAAGGGTAAAAATAAAACGAAACGGGGGGGGCCAAAGAAAGAAAGAATAAAATGGGGGGGGGGGGGGGAAAGAGAAAAAAAGGGAAGGGGGGGGGGGGGGGGGGTGCCCGGTTTTGGGGTGGGGGGGGGGGGGGGGGGTTGCGGGGGGGCGGGGGAAAGGAAAGGTAGGGGAAAGGGGCGAGAGGGGGGGGGAGGACGAGGCCCCCCGAGCCGGGGGGGAAGGGAAAGGAGATGAGGGGGGGGAGATTTTAAAACCAAGTAAGGGAAGGGGGGGCCCCGGGCGCCCGCTCCCCCAATCTCGGGGGGCCCCCCCTAGCATCGCTTCCCCCCCCGATTTTGCTCCCATGACTGTGATGGCTCTGTGATTTCCTCGTGATTCACTTACTTTCTTTTTTCTCGTTTTCTTTAGGACGCAAATTGTTGAAAATATAAATTTCAGGTATGGCCGAACTGCCCGATCTCGGCCGCCATTGTGCCCTACAAATTTGCGGAAGACTCGGTGAGATTTCCGGTGCATTTTTTACTTTTTTTTAGACTACACGCCCCACCTCTGCAAGCAGTGCGAGCAGTTTTTCTGGTAGACCCATTTGACGTTGGAGAACCTTGTTTTTTAAAATTTTTTTTTTTTTTAGTGGCGACCACCGCCTCTCGCACGGCTGCGCGACCACATCGAATATCTGGGATGGAACATCAAAGTTAACTGTAGGATTTATGCTTTTGCACAACACTTTTTTAGGATGCCATCCCGGTGAAGCCCTTCGTCTGCTCGCTCACCGGCTGCCACCAGGCCGAGTCGGTCAAAATTTGCTGCCAAAATTGCGGGTTGAATTACTGTCTGCGGTAATTTGTTTAAACTCATCGATAAAATACATTTAGCCACCGCCACGACGACGACCACCACTGCGCCAAAGGGCCCACCCATCAGCAGCTAGCCGCCGAAAAAATCGAACAGCTGAAGGTTGTTTCATACCAAATTATACCAATTCTTGCTTTAGAAGAAGCTAAACATACCCGACACAGCCCAGTCCGTCGTTTGCGAAGTGGAAAAGCCGAAAAAGGTTCGATTCGATTTAACTGAAACCATTTTTCATTTTTTTCAGATCCTGACCGACGCGGAGCGGCAGCGAATGGAGAAGATCGAGACGATGAAATGTAAATCGAGCACAAAAGGCGAGTCAAAAATTTAATAATTAATTTTTGTCTATTTCAGGCCACGACATACAGCAAGCCGATATTCGTTTCCTACACGTTGAAGCCACCGGAAACGCACAGGGAAAGTTCGTGCTAGTCGATAAGGTATGAAAAGCGTTGGTTGGTTTCAATCTTTTGTTTAGAAGTGGACGGTCAGTCGCTGCGTCGACACGACTATCCGTCACTTCGCGCTCGTCAACACCGGCAGCGACGCTTGGGCAAAGGTAAATCTGCAAATTCTGCAAGCACTAACCATTTTTTAGAAATATCAACTCTACAAAGACGGCCAGAGGGAACCGTTGAGCCCGTCGGAAGAAATTGGCAAGCTCATCGACTTCAACAAGAATAACGTCAGCTACGTACAGCTCAAACTGGATCAATGATTTTCGGGGTGCATTTTTGTGTGATTTGTAATGTGATGTCTAATAAAAGTATTTCAATGTCTAATGGCCGGTCTTGATAATGTTACTAAACATTTTATTGCAATAACCATTTCTGAGTCCCTGTCATCTTTCCTAAAAGTCATCTTTCCTAAAGTCATCTTTGCTAAAGTCATCTTTCCTAAAGTCATTTTTCCTAAAAGTCATCATTCCTAAAAAGTCATCTTTCCTAAAGTCATTTTTCCTAAAGTCATCTTTCCTAAAAGTCATTTTTCCTAAAACTTGGTAATCGTAAATTTTATTTTTCCTCAATCACTTTTTTTCTAAAAACTATTTTTTTTCGAGGTAGTCTTTCCTGAAGTTAGGTATGCGAATAGGGGATACCACCTTCGCCTAACTTGAAACTACTTCCCCTGTGTAGAAACGGCAAAATGCCTCGAACGCGCTGTCCTCATAAAAAGCTCTTAGTCTGCATCAGAGCCTATCCTATTTTTTGATTTCTGAATAGTTGTATGAATTCAAGATAGCATAACTTAAATCAAAACATCCCGAAAAGGGTCTAGTAGGGCATGGAACGGTAAAATTTTACGGCCCGGGCCTCTCCCAGAAAATTTTCTTGCAAAACCAACTGATAGATATTGTTTTTAGGAAAAATGGCTTTCGGAAGAAAAATGACTTTTAAGGAAGATGTTTTAGAAATGGCTTTAGGAAAAATATTTTTAGGAAAGTGACGGAAGATATTTTAGAAAGATGACTTTAAAGGACTTTAAGAAAAAAGATGACTACGGAAGATGACTTTTAGGAAGATATTTCTGACCACCATTTCTTTATTTAATTACTAGGGACCCCCGACGCATGAATTCTTGAAAAAGAATTACCCGAAATCTACTCAAAAGAGTAGACGCCTATCAATTATGCTTCTTGTTGGCGGCGAGTGCAGCAAGTTGAAGCGGTCCACCCCAAAGTGAGGCGAAGACGCTGCGTTCCACGTTGAACGCCTCGGAATCGCGTGTATGGAGAGCGGAGGCAGCCTTTTTCAACCCCTTGATCGGCTCGATGTCGATGGCCATAAACTTCTTCAAGTACGCCTCGAAGTCTTGGTCATTCGCGTAGATGTGCTGGATGAAGCCGATCTGCTTCAGTCGCTCCGCATCCATCACGGCGGCCGTGGCGAGTGATTCGAGCGTCCTGGAAGGAAACGGTATTTAGTCTCTAATTCAATTTTTAATGAGGTTATTGTTCGAACCTCGAATATCCCATGGCTCGCAAATATTGTAAACGGGCATTCCTCCCCATCCTTGGCGGTAACGCCGATGCGTCTCTGGCACGAAGCCGACTTTTTGCATCAACTTTGCATGCTCGGAATGTCGGAAGCCGACGCGAGTTCGGCGCCACCACCAAGTGCAAATCCGTCTATCTTGGCTATCGAGATGGCGGGTAGCGAGGCGAGGCGAGTCAATGAGTTGCTCATCAGGCTGCACATGATGAAGCCGTCGTCGGAATTGGCGATTTGGCGCACGAAGCCGAGGTCGCCGCCGCTGCAGAACGTCTGTGCCGCGCCGCGGACAAGGATCAGACGCGTCTCCTTTTGCTGCTGCTCAAGCTTGGTGATGGCGTGGTGTAGATCGGACATCATTTTGCCTAGAAATTATTCATTTGGCATCAAAAAGCCGGTAATTTTGGACCAACCAAGGAGACCATTTCCGTTTCTTCGAGTTGCCGATCCGGGGAACGGCGACGTCGGGAAAATCGGCCTCCATATTTCTCCACGATGACTTGGCCACCTTCATATTTTTGATAGGTAGTCGGCGGCTCGGATTCGGCGTATATTCGAAGGGCTTCCCGACAGATGGTGGCAAATCGCCGAGCAGCTCCACACCGCAAGACGTTCATCTGAAATTCGTGAATGAGCTGGTTAGAGAGCCCGGCTACTTAGATACAAAAATGCCCATTAATACTACTAGTGCTATGGTCATATTTATTAAGTTAGTGAACTGCAAGGCAATTATTGTATATAACAGCCCCAGTACAGCCGGTACAGCCGATACAGCCGATACAGCCAGTACAGCCGGTACAGCCGGTACAGCCGTTTCGCGGTATAATAGTAATTTACGTATTTATTGTTGTTATTTATTAAAATTAAAGTTTTTTTTTACTATAATATGTCGTAATTGGTCAGCTAACGCGCCAGAAATTACTTTATAAGGTGAATTGAGCTATTCGGGGCCGTATTATCTGCATTATCAACTGATTTTTTCATAGATTCGTTCATTCTTTTCCTTCAATAATTTATTTAATATTTATTATTGATTTCAGTTTCTTTCTGTAACGTAACAGAAGCTTTTCTAGGTAAGCATCGTTAGTCCAAGTCCAGTTGGTGCCCTTTCTGTGCATTATTATTCATTTCCAGTGCAAATACGTTTTGTATCCTCGCAGAATAATTCAATTATAGAAGCTAGTTTGTTCTTGGCAGGCGTGTATGCGTTGGTAGCACTAACGTGGTTAGCTACGCGACCGAGTTGGGCAGCTTTGCTTTGAGAAGAGTTTGGCCTATTCTCAGCCAAATTTCCAAACTCAAAACCGTTTAGCTGCGCTACAGCTTCTGGCATTATTGTTTTCTTATAACTAAGTTTAACCACAGCTTTGACTTGGTTGTCAGCGAAACTAAGCCACCGCGTAGATTTGGCTTCTATTGGCTCCTTTTAAAGCTTTGATTTTAAGAATGAAGTGTTAAACTAAACCGAGGGATTCAATTCGCTATTTTATTTGTAAGTTTATAACTTACTAGTGAATTCTGCTCATCTGTTTCGGGCTTTTCCCTTCGACTTCATCAGCACAGCCGAGCGGCAACGTTTTTCGCAGCCAAGGAACTTTTGGCTCGTCATGCGGAGAGCCAATTTCAACGCAAGTAGTTTCAAACGATGCTTCTAAGCTCTGAAGCTTATGAGAAAACCAAGCTAGCTTCTGCCAAGCTTTTTAGTATAGCCAGAGTCTAAGCCTGGCCCAAGCCAACGTAGAGGCATTTTCTTTTCGCTCCGTCACCGATTACTTATGCCGTCGTTAACCCTCTTTAAAGCTAAGATCCTCTAGGCTAGTGCTTCGGTCAAGCAGATTAAGCAGCTAACAAGGAGTCAGCTATGCTTTTGGATTTCGGGAGGGACCTAGCTAGTTCGATAGAGCAGGGATTCTGAGCACACCATTTTCAAAAAGTGCTGATCGATAAAGGTGTTTTAGGAAAATTCAATTTAATTTTAAAAATTTTCCCGAGTTTCCCGACCCATGTGGTGATTTGGGTCGGTCGACCGCCCCTACCACATGGGGGCTTCACGCGTCATGGATCCCGTCCAAGGCATGGCCAAGTGGCTAGTGCGTTGGCCTACGAAGTTTTTTTTTACCGTTTGCCACCAGTTCGATTCTTATTTATCGTTAACTTTGCTTTTTGCTAATTAAAATTGTACGCGCGGTATAACGGGTTCAAGAACCAAAAGCAAAACGGTTAGCCAGCGCGAAGATTCGAACTCGAGGCAAAAAAAATGTTAAAAGTTTGTAGGCAGCGCAGCTACCAATACGCCAATGCAACCTGTGATGGAGGCCTTGGCGGAGGAAAGCACAGGAGTGGTTGCGGCAGCTCCCCGACAACGACGTGAACCGAGCAAATGGACCCGAAAACTAGAAAAATCGCGAACTTTCACCAAATTTCTAGAATTCTTTATCGATCAGCACTTTTGAAAATGGTATGTTGCTCAGAATTTTTCTCTATCGAACTAGCTAGGTGCGTCCCGAAACCCAAAAGCACCTAAAAGCGACTCCTTCGCAAGCCTGTGTTTCAATTAAAACCCAAGTAATTTCCAGCCAAACGCCTAGTAAGCTTCTACCACGAGCGAAAACCGCCCGCCACGTGCGCCTGCGTCAACAATTGATCCAAGCATACAATTTATAGTTTTGGAGTCAATAGCACACTACAATGACAGTCTGTCAACATTAACTTAATGATAAAAATCAAAATGCCCCTTCAAACAGTAACTACCTTCGAGAAACCATATGTTAAAGGACTAAAAACGAATAATAAGGCAAAGAAACATCAAAACTGGGGTCCGACAAGCGATGCTGCACTATAAAGGCTTATGTAACGTTCAATTCCCAGTCAGTGAAATCTAGGATTTTATGTATTACAATAATAGTTTTAACATTTTTTACGGAAAGAATCTATGTTAAAAACGGTGTATAATGCAGATATTACTGGCCCCGAATAGCTCAATCTCACCTATAAAGTACTCTCTGGCGCTGTTAGGCTGGACCAATTACGACATATTATATAAAACAACTAACTTTAATTTAATAAATAACAACAATAAATACGTAATGTACATATATCATGAAACGGCTGTACCGGGGGTACTGGCTGTACTGGCTGTACCGGTTGTACCGGCTGTATCGGCTGTACCGGCTGTACCGGCTGTACCGGCTGTACCGGCTGTACCGGCGTGTATCGGCTGTACCGGCTGTACCGGCTGTACCGGCTGCATCGGCTGTACCGGCTGTACCGAAGCTGGATCGGCTGTACCGGCTGTAACGTGCTGTACCGGCTGTACCGGCTGTTATTTACAAATTGCCAACTCGCAAATAGTCACATCCTTATGCAACGGAATTGCCTTGGGGCAAGGATGGTTTGAGGGGCGCGGTCTAACGTAGGAAAAGGGCGAGGGAGTGGGACTGCGGGGAGAGAGGGCAGGATGACAAGTGGCGAGAGCGGAGGCTGATCGTGTCCCCGGCACAGATCCCAAAATTACCAACCAACGTCGGAAGGATGACAGTATTAAATTTGGACAGGCAGAAGCCTCCTTCCCGCAGCCGGCTTAGGCCGCCTCTTCTGATGTGGCGGGTATACCGGATCAACCGTTGCCTGGAGCATCTGTACCACTCATTC